AAAACAGCCACTATAAATTAATTATGTAGCAGACCGACCAAAACCCGTATTACGGGTTGCTTTTTGCTAGTACATACTAATACTGTAATATGTAGTATGTACTAAACTTACAAATACTGTAATATGTAGTTACTAATACTGTAGTTACTAAAACTTTTTGAAAAAGCAAGTGGTTCAATGATCAACGCCTCAAAAACCAAGGGTCTTGCTCTTGGGGGCTTCGATCCCAAAATGTACCCGGAATGGGACAACATATAGTGGACTAATAACACCGGTTTCAAAATTTTAGGTGTTACGTTTTACACCAGACTGAGTAATACTACCAATTTCAACTGGCTAGTAACTCTAAACAAAATAGAAAAAAAACTCAATTTTCTGGGACTACGTACTTTGTCACTAAGGGGAAAGACTATGTTGATAAATACGTTAGCACTGTCAAAAGTGTGGTTTCTGGCAAACGTGTTGCCCGTTCCCAAATGGGTAATAGAACGTTTGCACCCCAGTAAACTTGCCATGCATGGTCCATGCATGGGATTCATTGGTTAATGGCCGGCACCATTGCGCCAGTGATGCCAGTTATTAACCAATGGTTGGCCATGCTTGTTTTACGATCGGCCAACTTTGCCGATCTTGTGCCAGGCTTAATCCATTTTTGTGATAAAATAAAAGTTTTTGCTTTGCGCATGTGCAACTTTATAACATTTAAAAAGGATAAGCATCACGTTTACTTATAATAATGCAATGATATATATATATACATAGATATCTAACTCCGTAAAAATTCCTTGATATAGTATGAGGCAAATTTTTTCGGCGGAAGCCATATTGAATACTGGCAAAACATCGTAAATAAACGATAAAGCTTTGATTTGGTTTTAGAAGAAACTATATATTACCTGACCTGTTTAGATTTATTTATTAAAAATGAAACAAAATAATCTTAATAGTATAGTTAATGTTGAAGAAGAAGTAATGTTGTTTTGAATTACTTTATCTGAAATTGAATTTAATTACTTTATCTGGACGTTATTTTTATAATTGTAAACTTAAAGTAGTTGATGTTACTTTAAAGTTATAGTTTTAAAATTTTTTTTAAAAAGTTAACTACCTTAAGAAGATGCTGCTATTTCTGACATACTTTGAAAAAATTGGACATGGATTAGATTGAGGAGGTATTAATTAAATACACTATTACCAGTAAACAATATATTAACTGTTAATAATATTATATAATAATATTATATATATATATATATATATATATATATATATATATATATATATATATATATATATATATATATATATATATATATATATATATATATATATATATATATATATATATATAATGTATGAATAAACTTTATTTTATATAAATATTATACATGTGTATGCATAAACACACACATACACACATAATTATAAAAACACACATACACATATATAAATATATACATATATAATATACACATATATAACATTTATATATAATAGAGTGTTTTTTTTATAAATTTAAAAACAAAACAATTTGCATTATCTCTAAAACTAAAAAATCTGAGTTCCTTTTTAATTAAAAAAAATATTTATATGCCTTTAAATAAAATTATTTTATTAAACTGCTGACGTAAACCAATTTTATGTTTATGTAGAATATCGTTAGTATACTGTTTTCCATAACGAAATAAACGAAGGGAGAGATATTTATCAATTATCTTTTTTAATAGTTGAGAGGAGTGCATATCTTCAGTTAAAATCTCATGATCTAAATCATGCTCGTTTAGTTCAGGAAACATCTTTTCACATGCAAGCTCTTGATTAATTTTGTAAACCATTAAGGATTTTAAGTTTTTTTGTGAACAAGTGGCTAACGTTGAATTAATGCCTATAACAAAAACTCTAAATATTTTCTCACATTTTTCAATAATTTTAATAACACTAACAGATGGTATATTTAATCCACCAAGATTTTTTAAATTTATAAAAGATAAAGATGATGATTTGTAAAAGACTGTGTACTCATGATCACGAACTAAATTATCTGGTTGGTTAAGTGCTTCAGCACATATGCAACAAGTTATTTCCTTTTTAAGAGTTTTAACAATGTAACCAGCTATATAACCAAGTATTGCTTGTTTGTATATCAATGTTGAAATCTTTTCTAGGCTATTTGATAAGTTTGCAATTATATTTTTATCTTCATCTTTTAATTCTGTTTCTATCATTGGAGATCTTGTTTTACTCCATTTCAATGAAAATATTGAACCAGCTGAATTTTTTTCAAAAGTGAGACAATTTGCATGCTTTGAACCAATCAAAAAGTTTCTTAAAAGAATTTTTTTAAAGCTTGACTTTAATTGTATAATATTAGGATTATTATTAAATCCATTTTTTCCCCTAATACAAGCAAACAACAGTTCTAAGTGATCTTGAGACGCTTTATAGGTCAACACATATTTGAATGAACATTCGGATCTTGATAGTAAATTTATAGACATATTTTGGATACTAGTTGCAGCGACAATGAAACCAATAGCAAACGTTTTTCTTCTATGTTTAAGAATTTTAGTCCCATCTTTACCAGTTAGGCTGGCCAGATATTTAATTGTTTTTTCAATAACACTAAACCAATGGATTTTGTCATTAAGAAATAAGGGTTTTTTCAAACCTTTGCCGAATGGACTTCTTGAATTAAGTAAATCAAAAAGTTGATTAATTGTTCTTATAAAATCTAATGTTCCTTGAGCATCATGAAAAGAGGGATGACCAGATAGCATTAAAAATTCAATAGCATCTGCTACAGAATTACTTAGTGTTTGGGCAGCTATTTTTACATTCATTTTATGCCTATGAAAATTAATATGGCTATTTCCTAACTTATTAGCAAACTTTAGTCCAATGTCTTCTTGCAAATTTTGCAGAATTGTGATGTGCTCCCACTTTACAAATCTTTTTTGAATACACCAAGATCACATAGCGCATTTCGTGCAAGTTTTAGCATATGGCAAGGATCAGGAATAAAATAAATATTTTTATTATAAGACTCAATATTAAAAAAAGTTTTCATATTTTCAGCTTTATCAAACGAACAGCCAAGACTTTTCATGGCACTAAAATTAGAAAAAACACCATCACAAGTTATGCTGTGAACATCTATACCATGCTGAACACATAAATTAACTGCGTTAGTTATAAGACAAACCAAGTTTGTTGTTGAAATCTTTTCACATAAAACATAACCGATAGGACATTTCCAATGCCCTCGAAGTCCAACAAGCATAAAGACAAGAGCCTCAGTAGCTATACTATTTGGATCAAAAGCAGATATATTGTTTCCATAATCTGAAAAACCTTCATAGTTACCATTACTTGGATTATAAACAAGACCTGATTTTATATGCATAGAATCAAAGATCAATGCACAATCTTTATATGTAACATCTTCTAATCCCTTTTGTTGTAAGTAAGAAAAAACATCTTTAAAAAATCCAGGTGAACAATCAATAGATGAGGACCAATTCAATAAAGAACTTATACAAGGCAAAGCAAACAATGAGCTGACAAAAGTATAGGCACGAGGTGAATAAAAATGAAGTGTCAAGGCAAATTTCTTTACTTCTTCTGAATATCGGTGACCTCTAGGATCTTTGCATTTATTGACTAGTTCAGATTTAAATAAATCACAAACAAGACCAGAAAAGCTATTATCAAGAAATTGAGCTGTATCAGCTGATATAAGCTTGTCATTCTCAAGTTTTTTAATAATTTCTGTCATTGTATTTATCTTCAATTCTTTCCTTCTAAGCTTTTGTTTAAGAGTCTTAATTTTTCTTTTAAGCTTGACTTTAGATGGAGAGTCGACTTTATTATTTGGATTTTCAATTTTAAAATCTACACTAGTTAAAATATGATTTTTAGAGGAACATGGCAACGAAAGAGATATCTTTTTTTCATTAATAGTTTCGAATGTCTCAGTTACATTCCTGGAAACATATTTTCTTTTGATGGGCTTTTTAGAATGCATTTTCGCCGGGAAATTAAAGATAGATGGTACAACATTTGCTTATAAACGAGGTTTATTTGCATTTTCATAATTGTAATCTTCTTTATGAAAGTGAACACTACATATATAACTATATTTTGTAGGAACAAATGAATCACGTTTTGTTGCCACAACCCATTTTTGGCATAGCTCGCTATTATTTAAAGGGAATTTATGAAACGATATCGCAACACCTTTGTTAAATCGGTTCACACAACCATAAGCAGAGCACGATATAACCATTTCTTTAGTAATAAAAGTAAATTTTTAAAAAATATTATTAATTTTTTTTTGCGTGTTTTGCCAGTATTCAAGATGGCTTCCAAAAAACAAATTTGCCTCACAACCGCGGCTCGAGTTAGATATCTAGTTAATATATATCATTGTAATAATGTGAATAGTAAATAATATTTACTATTTACTATTTATCTATATTCGTATTTCTTATTTTTTGTTAACTTAATAGCTGTAAATAAATGAAAAGAAAATGTTTTAGCAATGACAGATCGGTCATTGTCAAAACATTTTCTTTTTAATATTAATAATGATAAGAATCTTATTAAGATAACAATGACAGAATATATAATTATATATTCTGTCATTGTTATCTTATCATTATTAATATTAACATTTATATAAATGTCTTCTGCAGAAGATATTTATATCTTCTGTCATTGTTGTCTTATATTTTCTGTCAATTTTGTCATTGTTATATATAATAAATCTATTGTTATTGTTTTATTTTCATTTTTTGAATTAACATTGTTATTCTTATTGTTACTGTTGTTAGTTATTACTGATAGTACTTATATACTTATTGTTAATGTTTGGCTATTATTATTATATTTATAATTAACATTGTTATTTTTATTGTTTACTTTTGTTAGCCATTACTGTTATTATTATAATTATTATTACTGTATTATTATTATTATTAATTATTTATTTTTTTTACTATTAATTTGCTATCTGGTTTATATATTGTTTCAAATTTATGGTGAATATTTGTAGGTCGTCACGATTTTGTCAGTTACATAATTGTTTGTTACTGATCCTAACTTTGTATTTTCTATAAAGTGAAATAAAATGATTGATTAATATCTTTATTTGCTTTTAAGCCTTATTTAATATTTAATAATTAGTTTAATTATTAAATTTTTATATGTATTTAATTGAGAATCTTTTTTGGAACCACATGGTTATCTTATGTTATAGAGTCAATAAGATTATTTGTTGGATATACAACGTAAGATATTTTTCTATTATGGTAATCCAAGACACTTTATTGATATATATTTATAGTTTTCATTTGTAATATTTTATTCAGAGAGTTAAAAAAAAAAACAACAGGTTTATCTAATGTTATCGTGGAGTCCACGAGTTGTGATTTATTGGATAAATAACGTAAGATATTTTTTGTATAAGGTATCTCAAGAAACTTCATTGTCAATAAACAAGGTACAATGTTTTTGTTATGTTGCATACCCATAAATTTTGTTTATATATATTTATAGTTTTTATAAGTAGTATTTCATTAAAAGTAATTTTTGAAACAACAGGGTTAGCTAATATTATCTTAAAGTAAATGAGTTGTGATTTAATGAAGAAACAAAGTAAGGTTTTTCTTTTATATGGTTTCCTTAGAAACCTTATATATTTTTATATGTTGTATTTCATTGAGAGTATTTTTTAAAACAACATAATTATCTAATGTTATGGAGTCATTGAGTTGTGGTTTATTGGATAAACAACGTAAGATATTTTTTAATATATGGCGTTTCATGAAACTTAGTTGATTTATATTTATAGTTTTTATATGTTTTATTTCGTTCAGAGTATTTTTTGGAACAATATGATTATCTAATGTTATCATGAAGTCAACGAGTTGTGATTTATTGAATAAACAATGTAAGATTATATATAGTAGCCCAAGAAACTTCATATGTATATATATATATATATATATATATATATATATATATATATATATATATATATATATATATATATATATATATATATATATATATATATATATATATATATATGAGAGAGAGAGAGAGAGAGAGAGAGAGAGAGAGAGAGAGAGAGAGAGAGAGAGAGATAACAAACATTTCAAGGCTTTTCTTTGTGGAAAAAAAGTAATTTGTGAAATTTATTGGTTTAAAATCTTAAATTTTTAGAGAGTAAAGTAGAAGTTGCATATTCACAAGGTTTTTTTTAAATATTTTTCTTTTGAATTATATTTCTAAAAGTATTTATGTTTAAATACTTTTATTATGTTGTTGGCATCTTATACGACTGCATGATTTATTTCATTTGACACCAAATAACAGGACAGGTTAGATTTTTTAATACGAATATTATATAAAAGTATAAACAGTAAATACAATTATAACATTTATTTTAGGGTAAACAAGTTCAATCTATTTATCTTTCTTTAATTTATTAGTTTTAACAAATTGGTTTGAGAACACAAGAATATTGGAAGTCAAGTTTTGAGAAGAGCATCAAACACTGCCTAGATCAAGATCTTATTAGCAAAGTGTGCAAAAAAAGTATATTATTATTTTTAATATAGAATAAAGAATTATATTATTACTTATTTAATGTTATTACTAACTTGTATAGTTTGTTTTGCAATTACTTTATTTTTAGTTATTTACGTTACAGTTTTATACTTATTTTACGATTTCTTGACTTTTGGCTATTTTTTTAATTTTTGTAATTACTAAATCTTTCAGATGGGGCTTGGCAAGCAATAAATATAGATATATCGAGAAGTATCAAACGTTAGCTCATGCAAGCATCAAGTTTGAATTATTGTAGAAGTTTAACTTTTCGCTAACCTTAAACTTTTATATGTATTGTATTGAAAGAATATTTTATTGAAATAAAAATATTTGGTAATATAAATTGTACTGCTAAAATGACGGTGTGTTTATAGTTAAAAATATCCCACATTCTATTTTTTATCACCCAGGAGACTTTAAGTAGTCAAACATCACCCCGCTTTATCTTTTTCTTCCTTACTTATTTTACGTTAAAATCTCTAAGTTAAAATCTTGCATTTGCTTGCTTAAGTTACAATCTCGCATTTATTTAAGTATTGTTTATTTATAAAAATAGCAATACATGTTAAAAAGCAAATAAAATCAACCTAAAGTAGCGTAAAAATGATCACTGGCAAAACAACGGCTAAACGCTGGTCGAAGAACGGCTGCCATGCATGGGCCAAGCAATAAACGGTGTGCAACACTGGGATTGGGCCATGATTGTCGGCCGATGGTGGGCCAGTCATGGCCCACCATCGGCCATTTTAGACTCCTTTTTTTTATTAAGGAATAAAGAAAGTCCTCTAAACAAAAAATCTGCCGAATGAAATCTTTCAAATGCCGACTATCTGATATCATTGCCTAAAAAACTGCCTATAAGTTGAAATAAGCCGGCTTTCTAGGATCTTTAAATTGCCCCTACTTCTACCGACCCAAACCAAGCATTGCCTACTGTAATTACACAGCCGGATGAGTATTACATTTATTAATCTAATACATGTATTACTACAATAATTAGCCAGTCGAATGAGCACAAATAAATTTTATCTTTTTTTTTAATTAAAATTAAAGAAAATGGAAAGTTGCATACTGCTCTTAACATGCACATGTATTTCAAAATGTTATGTTCTATATTTTTGGCATAAACATCACCTAATGTTAAAAAAATGTGCTGCACTTCATTGTCTGCAGTAGGTTTTGACATTTTGACCAACATGTTTTTTAATTAATGTTATTTAAAATAACATTTATGTATATAACAAAATTTATTTTAAACGGAAATAGAAAACTAGTTAACAACAAAGCATTTCTAGCATACCTCCTTTACAAATTTGAACGCATTAATAGTAGAAGACAAAGCAGAGAAGTTTTGTTTAAAGAAAATATCTCTAATAATTATAATGTACACAGTCGATTGATTTTTTAAATAATTCGGCGTATCAAATTTGGTGTACAGTGACAGATGTTCATAAAACTGCAATAACTTTGCAAACGGTAAACGAATTTTTTTTTACAAGAAGGAAAAAAAAAATTATAAACTAACTGATTTCAACGTTATATTACCGTATAACGGGATTACTTTGAATGTTTTTGAGATATTTTTACTTGCTCTTCCTTCACTTTTGACAATATTTGAAATTTAACAAAGTGAATATAAGATCGACTCTTACATAATTCAAATTCAAAATAATATTTAAATAAAAGTATTTTGCATAATTTTAATTTAAATAGTCATTCAAATATACCCCGCAAATGGGGTAACTTTGAATGCGTTTTTTGTAAAAGCAAAATCTATTCAAAAACGCCTTGCTTTGTTTAAAAATTTAATAAAAACAACATTCTAGTTTCACAGCAGTTTATAATTGCTAAAATAATATAACATTATTTCATAACAAACACCCATTTAGTATTTTATTTTGTTTAAATGGATATTTTTTGAGTGGACTAGCTTAAAAAAAGTCTCATTTACATCAGTTTCACTTCTAGACTTTGCAAGTGGAACATCTTTTTATTTTGCCAAAAATCCTCAAAAGAAATATTTTTAAAAAGATCAAAAGTAACTTTTTTTTCCTTTGAGACTGCTTTTTCCTTGATATCAACATGAAAAAAATGTTAAAGTACATTAATTACTGCCCTGCGAACTAAAGTTATAACTATCTGGCCAACGATTGAAGATGATACTTATATCTAATGGGTAACTCCTATACTTTTTTCAAAACCACTAAGTTGTTGATTACCTTTTGATTTAACAAATATAATGATTATAAGTAAATAAAGAACAAAGAAGATTTATTTTTTGTAATGGTCGGTGCATTTTTTAAACAAAAGGTTTTCAATTGATAAAGTATTTTCTTACATTATTTTTAAGAGATTAATAAAATGCAGAGATTGCAATAAATGGGTAGAATTACCAGTTATAGAACAAGATACCGTTTTCTTCTCAACGAGATACTATTTTCTTTAGTAAATTCAATTACTTTTTCACTGTAAAAATTACTTCAAATATAACTAATAGGAATGTTCCGACAGTTTGACAAAAAATAATAACAAATCAGTCTAAAAAGTGAATAGAATCAAAACCGTCCTGGCTTTGATTGTATTTTTGATTGTATATACATTAGGTGGTCCACTTCGGTTCTTGTTGTGCATAAATGGTCGGCTTTATAAACATAACCACAGGCAACTTGACCAGAAACACTAAACATGATTGACGTAACATAACATGTTGCATATTTTTGTAAAAACCTTGGACTTTCCATGTGTTTTTGGATTAGGTTTTTAAACTTTATTATACAAAGTGACAACTTGCGCCCAATGAACATCTATTATTTTTTTATCTAATAATGTTTATTGTTACCACAAAAATATCATTCAGTATAATTTATATACTGCCTTGTATCAATTATTTTTTTATATAAAAGTGGGATAATACTACTATGAAACGCTAAACAAAAATAAATTTAAAGATAAAACAGTATTTTCAACAAATATAATTCAACACAATATTGAATGTACAAACAAATATTTTTTATACAAGATTTAAAGTTTATTAGTGATCTGCAAAAACAGTATATACACACAGACACACACAAATATATATATATATATATATATATATATATATATATATATATATATATATATATATATATATATATATATATATATATATATATATATATATATATATATATATATATATATATATATATATATATATATATATATATATATATATATATATATAGAAACAATGTATACACACATATATACACATACACACAAAGACACACACACATACACACATATACACACATACACACAAAGGGACACACACACATAAACACACACAAACTATGTGTATATGTGTGATTTTAATTTTTAATCACATTAATATTATGTACAATACTTAATATATTATATATAATATATGTATGACAAAGGAAATTTTAAAATTGTTTCATGTTTCTGACTATTTATGTAGTGGAGTTACTTTAAACGTTATTCAAAGTTTGTAAGCGAAAAATTGTATACAACAAAGTATGTTATGCTATAGCAATGGAACATAATTATAGAAGGCAAACAAAATTCTTTAGATTTTACATGCTTAATAAATTTATAAACAAAAAATTATGCAACTTAGAAAACAAGCTGCTACACTAGCTGAGGCAGTGTACGAAGTATTCTGACTATTTTTTTTGAGAATAATATCCGAATTATTTAATTCATTTTTTGGGGAACAATAACAACCAATAAACAAATTAAAACTTTAAATAGTTAAAAAATAAACATTTTTTAACACTTTAATATTTGAGATTTTAACAATTTTATATAAATTCTTGGCATAATTATAATTTGAAAAAAAAAAAAAAAGATTTGTATTCAGCTATTCAAAGTTTTACGGTACTAATTAAATTTGTTTTTAAAAGTTTTTGGCAAAAAGCTGTATGGTACTAAATACTTAGGGTGAAATGCAAGAGGCGAACTTGAGTGAAGTTCAACTTGAGCTTTGAAGTATGATTTTGTCAAGTTAGACCAAGAACATATTATAGCAGGACGTTTAACGCATTGTTATAGATCTGAGGCGCCGTGAGTAAACAAAAATCTATGCGAGCTATAATTTTTAGCGTTATTTTTCTGAATAATTTAAAAAATTAAACCGACATTTTTTCGATAGTTTCGCTTTTCTAAATACGTTTTTTAAAAATGCAATTACCTATAAATCTCTAACTTTTTTTAAAAATTAATGCATTTTAGTTAATCAGAAATAGCGCATCTGTTTTAAAATAACAAATTTGCCAAGACTTTGTGTAGCCGATATTGCCAATAAAGGTCACGCTACAAAACACTAATATGTTAAGAAATAACTAATATTTATTGTAAAATGATTAAAACGATTGATCTCATAATATTTCCTTATTTTAAAGTACACATTAAAACTGTGGTTTTTTCGCGTTTTATTTGATTTGTTTTGAATTTTTGTTTAATAAATGAATACTATATATTAAAACTTGTATATTTTGTTTTTTATAAAAATAATAAGCCATTTTACTTTTAAATATGTATTTAAAAGATTTTCAAACCATCAAAAATAGTTTAAATTTCTAATTTCAACCAATTTTTGGTGGTGGTGCTATTTTATTTTTCGCAGCTGTATATATATATATATATATATATATATATATATATATATATATATATATATATATATATATATATATATATATATATATATTATATATATATATATATATATATATATATATATATATATATATATATATATATATATATATATATATATATATATATATATATATATATATATATATATATATATATATATATATATATATATATATATATATATATGTGAGCAATAGCATGTTTTACCTCATTAAGTTTTGTTGTTGTAGAAATCAGATTGTGATTCAAATCTTTTTATAAACATTCAAATTAGTATATGGTAAATAATATACAAGTTTAATATATTATACTTGTATGTTATTTATCATATACTAATTTAATCGTTTATAAAAAGTATTGAATTACAATCTGATTTCTTTTTGTTTCCCCTATAATCTCTCTTGTATATGCTTCAGCACCATTTTCATTATTAGCATTTTCTATTTCATCGTATTCCCAAAAATTGTTTTGCAGAAGGGCAATGTTGTGAAGCACATAACACGATATTATAATTGCTATAGAATTTTCAATTTTGTTCGTAGAGAAAGACAAGATAATCTTTTTTTTAAAAAACCAAAACAACATTTCACTGTAACACTTGTGCTACTCAAACTGTAGTTGTATCACCTTTCACTAATATATTCTGGGTTAGAAAAAGGTGTCAATAAA